CTTTAAATTTTATTATTTATAGATTATTTAATAATTTAATTATTATTTATGTGAATAAAATGTTAAATTAATAAATAATGATGGCAGGAGTTATTACCGTTGCACGCATCACACGTGCAACGTGAAAAAACAGGTGCAGAGGTTATCAAAAGACACGAGCATTGTCGTGACAACTTACGAAGGAATTCATAATCACCCTTGTGAGAAGCTCATGGAAACCCTAACTCCTCTCCTCAAGCAGATGCAATTCCTCTCTCGCTTCTAATCCATACATGTATACTTACATATATACATATAACAACTATAAATCCTATATATATATATATATATATATATTTATGTACATTGGTTAATTTAACAAATCAGTAACCACAGATCTTAATTGTTATGTATACGTACCCGATACGTCAGAGTACAGCTTGAAATTGTGAAATGAAAGGAATTATGTATTTTCTTATTTCTGTATGTGCGCTTGAATGTGTGTGGAAGGTAAGCTGGGTATTCATAATTATTTTATACTATATTCGTATTCTTTGTTATATATAAGATATAATTTTTGCAATTATATAAAACAATATATATTCTTTTATATAAACCAAAATTATATTAAATTAAAAAATTTCTAATGAAGACATAAAAAATTATTACACGCTAATTTTTGTGTGAAAGATTTACAAGATGATTAAAGTGCTCATATTTTATTTTTATTTTTAAAATATTTGAACACTTAATTATTATGTACTGGTACATTAAATAGATAGATGATTATTATATATTTTATCATATTGGTTTTATTATAACATATTTATTGAAAATTATTTTATATTTAAAAAATTTAAATAGATAACTATTTATATATTATTAAATTAAATATAATATAATTAAGAGTAAAAAAATTGACATATATCAGTTTCTGATTTTATTTTATAGACATATAAATTACATTAATATATAAAATCTCGTAAATTATTCAAAAAATTGTCCTAATTGTTGAAATTATTTTTAAATTTTTATAATTTAAAAAAATTACAAATTCTTTTATATTATTTAATTAAAAAAGTTCTGATATCAAAAATTTATATTTCCTAAAAAATATCTATAGCTTAATGTCTGGAAGTACAAAAAAAATATTATTTTACTGATATTATTAATAATGCAGCATTCGTAACATCATTATACCTTCCTATTTGTGTGAATTGATAATTCATTAGCACTAAGAGTGTGCAATAGCCAATGGAATTGATTTAATCTGCTTAAATCAATCCGATTGTAGAAGATCAATTTGGTTAAATGAATTAATTTTTTCAGTATGGTTAAGGCAGTTTGATCACATCAAAATTCAGTTCGATTACAATTTTTTGGTGCCACAAATGAACCGATGGAATAATCGAAAACATATATATTACATTTAAATTATGATTATAGTAAATTTATATTATACTCCTTATTTTCTGACCAAGAAGAAAATAGAGAATTAGATACCAAAATACATCGAAATTGGTTTTTTGGTATTAAATTTTTTTTAATTGAATCGATCAAACATTCACTCCAAATCAATACGGTTTTAGCTTATTATGTATTTGAAAACCCTTGTTCAATAAGCGCTCTTTGGGAGCAATAAAATTTTTATCAATAATTGATAGTATTAGATATATGTAATCAGTGTAAATTTTGCAAATACATGAATTTTATTACAAATTTATAAATTTGGAGGGTTACTTGTGTATAAATAGCATGTTTTTTCAATAAGAAAACATAACCTCATTTTACACCATCGAAACTTTCTTTCCATTTTCTCTCTGCACAAATTGATTGAAAATTGAATCAATCTTTCTATTTTATAGTCTTTCTTAGTAGAATTTCATTGCAAAATTATCTAAAACTCATCATGGTATCAGAGCAATCCATATTTCTTTTAATTTCATTGTTCGCAATTTTTTTTTTGGAGCCCTAGCTTTGCTGTTCATCGATTGTAGATAGTAAAAATCAAAATTAATTACGTTCAAGTTGCTATGGATTCTACTCCGATTTAAGAGTCACTAAAGCATAAAGAATCAATGTCAAGTGCATATTACTTTCATTCGAACGAGAATTCGGTCAGTTAAACACATAGTACCTTCATCCGAACGAGAATTCAGCGCTTTAGCTGACATCTGTTGTCCTTACAGGTAATAACTATCGATCATGGTCTCGTGCGATGATGCTAGCGTTAAGTACAAAAAATAAAGAGAGTTTTATAGATGGATTAATTTCTGTTCCAAACAAGGACGATCCTTTGTATGAAGCATGAAAAAGATGCAATACTCTTGTTTTGCCTTGAATCATGAAGTCTGTGTCTCCCTCAATTGCACATAGTGTAACGTGGATTAATCATGCTAAGGATCTCTAGAAAGATCTACATGATTGATTCGCGCAAGATGATTTGATCAAAATTTCATATTTGTTAGACGAAATCAATTTCTTGAGACAAGAAAATAATTCAGTAACTGAACACTTCACTCAGCTCAAGATTTTGTGGGAAGAATTGGCCAACTTAAGACCTTTATATATTTGTCAGACAAACTTTGTGAATAGAAGATATTATGATGAAAATAAAGTTATAAGGTTTCTCAAAGAATTGAATGATTCTTTTAGAGTTGTTAAGACACAAATATAGCTTATAGATCCATTGCCAGCTTTGAACAAAGTGTTTGCTTTAGTGATTCAACACAAGCATAGTCTTAATGTTGTTGTTTTCACACAATAGTATGAGTCAAATATGCTTTATACTAGCAAAGTTCCTAAAGTGCCACATAAAATGATGAATGCCTATAATTCTAGAAATATGAATACTTACAATTCTGAAAATTTGAAGAAGAATATTGGAGTCGATAATAAATGTTCCACTTGTACTTAATGTGTGTTCGTTGGTCACACAATAGATAAATGCTACAAAAAATATAGTTATCCACCTGGATACAAGCCCAAGCGAGGGAATGTGTCCGCTGTCAATCAACTGAGTGTTCAGGTTCTAGAGAACAGTGCATAGTTATCTGAATCCTATTTGAGATTCGGTTCCCAAAGTAATGTTTCAGGTGATTTTTCTTTTCCATTCACAAAAGAACAATGTCAGAAAATATTAGCCTTGATTCAGCCACAAACACCTGCTGTACAACCAGTTCATGTCTCACAAATTAACACTCTTGCAACCACCTTTAAGCTTACTTCAGAATCAGGTATCTCTTATTTGAACTCAAAAATCAAAACCTATGATTGGATTATCGATTCTGGTGATACTAATCATATTGCAAGTTCTCTTGAGATGTTTGATTCTTATAAAATAGTAGGAAATGTTTTCATTAAACCACTTAATTCACAAACCATTCCTATGACACACATCGGTGATATTCACATTATATATACATTTGTTCTATATAAAGTTTTATTTAACCTCAACTTAGTATCAATATCATGTCTATTAGCTGATTAATTCTTGATTCACCTTACCATATACTATTCCATGAAAATTATTGTATTATTCAGGATTTCAACAATAGAAGATGATTGGTACAACCAGAGAGAAGAACGGGTTGTACTATCTTGAAGCAATTAAGACCAAGTGCTGTAATGTAGTAAAATCTGTTACATCTTTTTTATTTAATTGTAATTCTTTTGTTCACCAACATTTGTGGAATTTCGATATTGGTCATCTTTCACCACTAACATTAAGAATAATTCATCAGATTGATAAGTCTGTTTTACTTTATACTCTTAATGCATGTGACTTTTATCACTTTACTAAACAAAAAAAATACCTATAACACCCAATTTATTATTTTTATTTTTTCTTATTATTTTGATATATATTAGAATTTTAGTTTAATTTTTTCAATATTTAATTTATAAA